CGTGAATACTCTTGACTTCTTCTAGACTGTAATGGAAAAGCCTCGAGGGTCTCACCATTAAACTAATGGTAGCTTTGGTATATTGGAAACAAAAAAGTCCGGGCCAAAATTCTTTTCAGAGGCCTTATAGACTTTGGAAAGAGAAAGACAAAGAAATATCCTATTTTAATAGTACCATGACATTCACTGTAGTATAATATTTACTATAACAGATTCACATAGATTAGAAAAGAAACTTATCTCAATCTTGGATCAGACACTTCTTGATAGAGCTGATACCGAAGTTGAGGCCCCAATATGATTAGGAGTTGGTTAAACCAAGAGAATTCTACACCAAAGTAACAGCATAGGCAATGGATAGGAGGTGAAAGATAATATAATTTTATTAATGAAAGCGGCCAGAAGGGAGAGAGAAAGAGTCCACTGAGTTGAGCTGGAATAGATAGTAAGTCAAGGAGTTGGAGTTTTATACAAACCCATGGAAATTTGACAACAGGTTTTAAGTGTTTTAAGAAGAGCTACACTTCATCCATGGCTTTGAAATTTCTCCTGGAGGGGTCAGTACTATGGTGTAGTGGTTATAGCTGCTGCCTGCAGCCCTGGCATCCCACAAGGGTGCCAGTTTGAGTGCTGGCTGTTCCACTTCCCATCCAGCTCTCTGCTATGGCCTGGGCTAGCAGTAGCAGATGGCCCAAGTCCTTGGACCCTTGTACCCGCAAGGGAGACCTGGAAGAAGCTCCTGCCTCCTGGCTTTGAACTGACCCAGCTCCGGTGGTTGCAGCCATCTAGGGGGTAAACCAGAAGGTGGAAGATTTCTCTCTGTCTCTCTCCCTGCCCCCTTCTCTGTAACTCTGACTTTCAAATAAATAAATCTTAAAAAAAGAAGAAATTGCTCCTGCAATATATTGACATACATATCCCTGCCACACTAGAGTCTTGATTGGACATATGGTTTATTTTGGCCAATAAGATGTTAATGGAGACACAAAGACTAAAATACATCCGTGTAGCTGAGTCTGCCCTCTTGAAACGTTTCTGTCTTTTATGAGTATAACATAGTGTGACGGGCCCACTGGATTCAGAACAATAAGACACAGACTTGAACCAAATCCACATTTTGGAGCCACCTGAGATAAATAAGAGATGTCTTAGCTCACATCTCTATTTGTGACCATACATGGTTATTATTATAAACCACTGAATATTTTAGTGATTTGTTACACACCAGTTCTTATTACAATAGCTAACTAATACAGGTATGTATAGGAAAGCGACAAGCAAGTTAATGTGAAGACAATTAAAATGTCTCTGGTGAGATAATGGTAGTCTGACTAGGCAATGCAGGGGAAACCAAAGTAAGAGGGCATTTTGAGAGACACAAAGGAGGTAGAGTGTAACGGACTCAGTGATTGGTTCGTTGTAAGTATTAGAAAGAGAGGTAGAAAGCACGCCCAAGTTTCTTCCTGGGACCATCATGTGAGAACCAGACCACCATCAAAGGTTCTGCTTTGAACTTGTTGAATCTGAGCTGTGAGCGCACAACCAACAACCAAGCAGAAATGACCTTGACATATGTCTATTCATCTGTCAGCTAGGGATATCAACATATGCTTCCACCTGCCTCACAGGGATATTGTGAAGAAAGAATAAGAAAAATCACACAAAAGGGCTTTGAAAAGAACATCCTACCAATCAACTGTGATGATGATTAAAATTAAAGAACTAACACTTTCATTTACATGCTGCCAGATGCAAAAGGCACACTCCAATTTTATTTTTGAAACTGTGATACTGTGCCTGTTGCTCATCACACATATTTCTCTTATTTATTTATTTTTTTGAATGAAGACAGAGATGGTGTTTCTGAGTAACAATATAAACTGAAATAGCACGTTCAAAGACTTACCCATAAGGAGTAGAATTTGAAGGAAAAATATCCTAGGGCTGGTGGGCAGTAGAGCCCAGGTCTTTTCTTTTGAGACCTTGGACAAATCATTTAAGATCTTTGGATCTCTCATTCTTCCTTTGTGTAATGAAGATTTGTGCTTGTTGATTTCTAAGACATCTTACTCTTCTCATATACACAGAACCAGGGATTGTCTTTACATTTTCAGCTTTGCTTATCTCCTACTGGTGATATGCTTCAAACTTCATCTGTCATTTGGAAAAGAGCTTCACACTTGCCTGTCTTTACCCAGGCTAGTTAGCTCAGTGTTTATCAGTAACGTCTCTCTTGGAGCCAATTCAGCGGATCCAGATTGCCTGTTAGGTCCCAGGCAGGAGAGCTGATTTTCATCTATGTGTGAGCAATAAGGATCTAGAAGGAGTTCTGATTGGTTTGCTTCTGTAATTGCGCAGGATTCCATTTACCACTTCATGAAGGTGGTAATGAGGGCCTCTGTAACAAGCAACTGTGGCAGCCATCTGGCAGGCCAGCACCACACTCCTGCTCAGCAGACAGAACCAATTAGTCGGTCCTCACGCCTCCCACAAAGCCTTCCTGTGTTTGGTGGCTGTGTGTTAGCCCCACTGAGCTTCCCACAAAAAACTCTGTTGAATTCTGGAAGGGGAGGGGCCAAATCATCTCCCTCTGGTTCCTCAGAGCTAGCAAATAATCCCTATCATGGAGATCCAGGGGCAGTGTACGTTATGACTGACCCATTCTAATGAGGGACAGAGACCATGTCAGGAAAGGGCAGCTGGACATATTAGGATTTCTGTTTATAAGAGAAAACTAGAAATGGCTTCAATGGCCACAAGGCATTGGTAAATGAATCAGGAAACCTCTGTTATCAAGGAACCTTACAGTTTGGTGATTTAAGGATCCAGAGCCGCGACTAGAATTGTGGCTTTGCCCTTTTCAGCCTTATGACCTTGGCAAGGCACTTGATCTCTTTGTTTCTCAAAGAAGCATGAACTAAAGATACTAAGAATTTCTACTTCACTGAGTGTATGGGAATAGTAAATTAGTTAATATATGTAAAGAACTTAGAATAGTCCTGGCACACAGTAAATGTTATCTGTTAGTTCTGAATATAACTCTCATAGAGCCATTAAAGAGATGCATCTGATGAATTTTTTATGCCAGTTTTTGACATGAAGTGAATTGAGCAGTCTAACAAAGACTAGACTAGATATATCAGGATTCTCATTCTATACCTCTGCATGGAAAAAAGAAGGGAAAGAAAGAGACAGGTAGCTAATAATTTTCTTTGGTTTCACTGTTATTTATATTCTCCTCTGTTCCTTAAACTTTCTATAAGATTATGTAATTTTTTATAATTAGATCTGCTAAAAGTTTAAGTAAAAATAAAATACCTGGGCAAATATTTTATCTGTACTTTAACTTTTTGGAGTCTCAGTTTTATCATCTACACTGTGATAGTATAAATAACTGTCACCTCCCTCACAGGATTAATCCCAAAAGCAAATAATAAAATTTATCTGAAAAGAGTCAATAACAAAGCATTTTTACTACTATAAAATTATTACCGAGGTCATCCTTGGGATCAACACCACCAACATATATAAATGCCAGAGTCAAAACCAGGGTAAAAACTCAGAGGTCCTTAGAAATTCATAACAAATTATTTCACCTTTGCAGATTCATCATCTCCTGTTCTAAGCAAGTCCTAAATTCAGGGATGCATCATAGGAAAGCATGCATAGAAAAGAACACATTAGGGGCCGGCGCTGTGGCACAGTGGGTTAACACCCTGGCCTGAAGCGCCGGCATCCCACATAGACGCCGGTTCTAGTCCCAGCTGATCCTCTTCCAATCCAGCTCTCTGCTATGGCCTGGGAAATCAGTAGAAGATGGCCCAAGTGCTTGGGCCCCTGCACCCGTGTGGGAGACCAGGAAGACGCTCCTGGCTCCTGGCTTCAGATTGGCACAGCTCCGGCCATTGAGGCCAATTGAGGAGTGAACCATCGGATGGAAGACCTCTCTCTTTCTGCCTCTCCTCTCTCTGTGTAACTCTGACTTTCAAATAAATAAACAAATAAATCTTTAAAAAATATAAGAACACATTAACTAGAAATTAAGAGGCCAGTTTCTGCCTGGGCTGTATAACTAACGTTTTGAGAAAATCACTTTTATAAATGAACTTTAGTGATTATATCTTGAAGAATATAGCCTGAATCCCATTGGTGGGCTGTAAACCACTCCAAAATTATAACGATTTGTGTGTTCTTATGAGCAAAAGATCAGAGACCCATAGGCATTCATTTTCTCATGTGACTAAAGATGAGCTATTACTTCAGTGATTTAGAAATGACTATTAAAACTATAAACTAAAATAGTTATGTTACAGTTTACTGCACACTCTAATCAGTATTCTACTAAAATATCTGGCTGTCACTTAATGCTGGCAGCCTTGCAAAACTCCTACTCTATGTATCTGTTTAATTGCAATTTCAGCAATTTTTGGAAATGGTGCTTTGTTATCAATGAATCATTAGTTTTGTCCTGATTTAGATCCAGCTTTCAATTGCTGTTATACTTGCTTTTTAATTACAAATTACTAATCATTTAGATTCATCATTATCAAGTCAGCTTGTTATGGATTGCTTGGTTGATTGTTAACAGAATGCAGTGATATATGTTTCTAGCAAGACAATTTTGAGTCTCTCATTTTTTGATATTTAGACATGATTCCTTTGGGTTTGGAAAATATGAATTATCTGACCTGGTAATGTGAAAGCAAACAGTCCCTTCCTCTCTAATATGTTCCAATTTTGCATATACAGTGACACTTATATCTCTTACTGAGTGCCACTGCGTTAACCACAGAGAATACTGACCATCTTAACTAGTGGCCAACAAAGAGGAAAATCTCAAATGACCTTGATAATCATTTTTAGAGTGAAAAAATTGACTTTAATTTCCATCTCATGCAAAATGTATTATTATTTGCACAAGTGTGTATTTGTGTCAACCTGATTTTTATCTATATTTTCTAGTAATACCACGAAAAGCTTTTGTATTCCTTGTTACTCACTTTGCCATCCAGGAATCCGCTGCAGTGTGCCACTGTCTGCAGTTTCTCATTATCCTCTAGGTGTGTACTCTCCTCCACACAATTTGGGTTGGAATTGGTTTGTTGATCAGTGAGATTCCACTGAGCTGCGGGTTCTCTGCTCATCTGCTTCACATTAGCCGTCCTGAGTTTCTGTGGTGTTGCTTGTTCTTTCAAGTTCACATTCTCCTTGCTGGGAAGAAAGAGTTTGACACTTTGTTACTCACAGCCTAGGCTCCTCATGCACTAGGCTGGCATAACAAATGGAAGGTATTAGTCTGGTTGTATAAACAGTGGTCCCTCAAAGTGTTGGAATGCAGATGCAAACACTGGGTATTTATCTATGGATCACTCACCATAGAAAGACCATGTTATGATCTCAGCTTTATCCTTTCCCCTTCCTTCTTTCTCATACTTGTAAAGATAATCTACCCTTTTGCTCCAAACCCATTACTGTAAGTAATGAACAGTGTCAAAATTAAGCCCTAAAGGTGATCTCATTTCATAGTTATAAGTCTAACAAGCATTTTTGAGCTTTGAAATTAGAAGAAGATCCAGAGGTTTTGTAGCTCTAGATCTCCTCCGTGTCTTTCATCAATTGTCTCACCTTGAGACTTCAGTTTCTCTTGTAGCCCTGCATCAACATTATACAGAGGAGAAAGAAATAAAATTTGTAGCAAGTGATTCAAAGAAATAAAAAAAGCAAATAAAAAAGTCCAACATGGTTTAATAACTAAAGAACTGCAAATAAAAACAATAATATCATTATTTAAACACTGAAAACTTTTTTGAAAATAAGAAATTCAAACATTAATGGCCGCAGAAACAGGTATAATCTGTTTTTTTTTTAAAATATTTATTCTATGTACTTGAAATGCAGAGTTACAGAGAGAGAGAGGTCTTACATTTGCTGGTCTATTCCCCAAATGGCCTTCTCAGCCAGGGCTGGGCCAGGCAGGAGAAAGAAGCCAAGAGCCTATTCTGAGTCTCCCACACAGGTGCAGGGGACCAAACACTTGGGTCATCTTATGCTGCTTTCTCTGGCACATTAGCAGGGAGCTGGATCAGAGGTAGAACTGCTGAGACTTGAACTGGCACCCATATGGGATGCCAATGTCACAAGAGGTAACCCTACTGGCTACACCCCAAGCAGGCCCCCAAAACAGGTATAATTCTTTTTTTTTTTTTTTTTTTTTTTGACAGGCAGAGTGGACAGTGAGAGAGAGAGAGAGAAACAGAGAGAAAGGTCTTCCTTTGCCACTGGTTCACCCTCCAATGGCCGCGCGGCCAGCGCGCTGCGGCCGGCGCCTCGCGCTGATCCAAAGCCAGGAGCCAAGTGCTTCTCCCGGTCTCCCTTGTGGGTGCAGGGCCCGAGCACTTGGGCCATCCTCCACTGCACTCCCTGGCCACAGCAGAGAGCTGGCCTGGAAGAGGGGCAACTGGGACAGAATCTGGCGCCCCAACTGGGACTAGAACCTGGTGTACCGGCGCCGCAAGGCGGAGGATTAGCCTAGTGAGCCGTGTAGCCGGCCAACAGGTATAATTCTTACAGTAAGTGATCTGACAAAACATCTTAACAACCAGGAGCTTAAAACTCTTTGATTTTTTTTTGTACTAGATCAAGTTCCACGTGTATTAGGGAAAATATGCAAAAGAAAAAATTTTAAAACTAAATATTTGGTAGTAGGTATGTATTGAATATTTTGTTCTATGTTCATATTATGGAAGGTATAGAGATGTTAAAATAGTTATGAGTAATTTTAATGACAAGTAAATATTAAATTTAAAAAATGAAAATGATTATTTCAATTATGCAAAATATATGTCTATAATGTGCTTACATATTAAAACAAGAAAAAAATTACAGAAATCAACATATCCAGGTGGTAAAATCCAGGGCATTCCATCTCATTCCATCATTATTCTAAATTTTCTACATGAAAACTACTATTTTGTAATCAGAAAATAATAAATTTCAAATAGGTATGCATTGTACCTGGAAGGCATTTTGTAAATTTTGGCGGTTACTTAGCTGAAAGCATTCATTTTAAAATATTTTAATGCAATCTGAGCATGAAACAATTTCTCCCCCCACAATACTTGTTTGTCAGAGTGAGGGAAACTATGGGTGATGGTTTGAATGTGTGCATAGTTTTTACAGTCGTTTTCTTGATAGTGGTAGCACAAGAAGAGACACAGTCGTGGGAAAGAACTTGATGGATACCCACATTTACAGAGGGCAGAAAAGCCTTAAGAGTAGACTAGAAAAAATTTCCAATAAGGTAGGAGAAAAATCTGAACGGTGGGGTCTTGGCAGCAAAGCACAGAGACTGCTTCCAGAGAGGGGCGTGGTCATCAGTAACATGCTGCTGAGAAGAGTTCAAGTTTGAAAATGGTCCACTGGCTTTAGCCATAAGGATGTCATCAGGATCTTGGTGAGGGAAGTTTCAATGGGGTAATGGTGGGAGGTGCTACACTGACATGGGCAGTAGAAAGAAGTGGAACAAAAAACTCTAGACAAGACCCACAAAGCCCATTGTGAAAACATTTGTGTGCAAGGGAAGAGAGAGAAGGTGTGGTGACTGGAATGGAATGTGGAATTTAAAGGGACAAATATCATATGTTCTCCCTGATCGGCGACAACTGAGCACCAAAGGGGAAACTTGTTGAAGTGAAATGGACACTATGAGAAACAGTGACTTGATCAGCTCTTGTCCTGATGGTTGATGTACAATGTAATACTTTATCCATTTTAGTATTTTTTTGTTCTAGTACCATTGGTTGAACTCTGTAATTAACACACAATTATTCTTAGGTGTTTAAATTTTAACTGAAAAGTGAGCCCTGTTAGGAATTTGGAAAACATTATGCTGAGTGAAATAAGCCAATCCCAAAGGGACAAATACCACTTCTTCTCCTTGATAGGTGACAACTAACTGAGCACCATAAAGGAAACCTGTTAAAGTGAAATGAACACTACGAGAAACAGTGACTTGATCAGCCCACACCCTGACTGTTGATGAGCAACTTAATATGTTATCCCTCTTAGTATTTTTTTTGTTTGTTCTACTTAATACTTTTGGTTGAATACTGTAATCAATACACAATTCTTCTTAAGTGCTGAAACTTAACTGAAAAGTGATCCCTGTTAAACATAAGAGTGGGAATAAGAGAGGGAAGAGATGTGCAATTCGGGACATGCTCAAGCTGACTTAACTCAAACGGTAGAGTTAGAAACATACCAGGGGATTCCAGTTCAATCCCATCGAGGTGGCATGTACCAATGCCATCTCACTCGTCCAAGTGATCAATTTCTGTTCACAATTGATCATAATGATAGGACTAAGAACCAAAGGGATCACATAAGCAAGAATAGTGTCTGCAAATACTAGCTGATAGAATAAAAAAGGGAGAGAATGATCCAACATGGGAAGTGAGATACACAGCAGGCCCATAGAATGGCAGATGTCCTAAACAGCACTCTGGCCTCATAATCAGCCCTTAAGGCATGCAGATCTGGCTGAAAAGCCCATGAGAGTATTTCAGGCATGGAAAGTCAAGACACTCTGGGGGGAAAAAAAAAAAAAACCTAAATGAAAGATCTCCGCGAGTGAGATCCCAGTGGAAAGAACAGGTCATCAAAGAAGGAGGTACCTTTCTCTGAAGGGAAGAGAGAACTTCCACTTTGACCATGGCCTTGTCTAAATATGATCAGAGTCAGTGAACTCAGGGGGCTTCCATAGCCTTGGCAGCTCATGACAAGAGCCTAGGGTGATTACTGATGCCATAAACAAGAGTGTCAATTGTTAAGTCAACAACAGGAGTCACTGTGCACTTACTCCTCATGTAGGATCTCTGTCCTTAGTGTGCTGTACATTGAGATTTAATGCTATAACTAGTACTCAAACAGTATTTTTCACTTTATGTTTCTGTGTGGGAGCAAACTGTTGAAAGCTTTACTTAATGTATGCTAAACTGATCTTCTGCATATAAAGAGAATCAAAAATGAATCTTGATGTGAATGGAAGGGGAGAGGGAGTGGGAAAGGGGAGGGTTGCGGGTGGGAGGGAAGTTGTGGGGGGGGGGAAGCCATTGTAATCCATAAGCTGTACTTTGGAAATTTATATTCATTAAGTAAAAGTTAAAAAAATGGGGATGTTGTTATCATCATGTTTAAAGATGCTGAGGACTATTGTTAAATGCCAGTCTTGAAAAACAAGCTGAGCTGGAGAAGAAGAGACTGTCATTGGTGAAGTAAGATGAAAGCTGGTAGAGTTATTTGAGAGGTAAAGTTACAGAGACAGGGAGAGACAGAGAGTGAGGTCTTTCATTCACTAGTTTACTCCTCAATTGGCCAAAACAGCAGGAGCTGGGCCAATCCAAAGGCAGGAGCAAGGAGCTTCTTCCAGGTCTCGCACTCAGTTGCAGGGGCCCAGACACTTGGACCATCTTCCACTGCTTTCCCAGGTCAGAGCAGAGAGCTGGATCGGAAGAGTAGCGGTGGGGACTTGAACTGGTGCCTATATGGAATACTGACACTACAGGCAGAGGCTTAGCCTACTGTGCCACAGCACCAGCCCCAAGATCATGGATTTTTGTAGCATCAGCCTGAGAGGGTGGATGGTCTTCTTTAGGAGTGTCCTGTAGTACTCATGGAGATGCAAAGGAGGCAGACAGTAGGGCTCACACAGTCTGGGGCTTTGCCTGACAAGTGGAGCCGGAGAACAAAAGTGCCATGTGGGAATATTAGCAGGAGCACGTATATTTGGCAAGTGTTCTTGCATGGGAAGAAGATTTGTATATTCCTTGACTTAAAGAAACTCACACTTCCTTTGATTATCTAAAAATAATATAAACAATAAAGTTAGCAACTGGTATAAACTTAATTCTAGAAGCTTGGATATTGGTTTGTTTTGTGGGAGGTATAGAGTTCAGATGGAAACATGAGAGGGCTTCTGGGACACTGGTACTAAGTAGTTTCTTAATCTGGGTATTTGTTGCGTGGGTGTAGCATGTTTGTGAGAACTTCAGTGAGCGGTAGACTTACAATATGTGCACTTTTATGTAAACTAGATAGTTTTCTATAAAGTATTAAAGTAAATTGGCATAAAATTTGCATAAATCAGATGAAACATACTTAGTTGGCATATAAATAAATGTTAGCTGAGTCAGTACTGTTTGGAGTTTATAAGA